CCACCCCCCCCCCCCCCCCCCCCCCGCGCTCTCTCTCTCTCTCTCTCTCTCTCTCTCTTTCTCTCTCAATGTACTTACTTTGATTGAAAAATATGAGGTCTCAATTTGCTTTAAATTCATGTACTCTGCCTAATCTCTCTCTCTCTCTCTCTCTCTCTCTCTCTTTCTCTCTCTCTCTCTCTCTTTTCATGGCGAAGTTCAGTGTACAGGGTCTTGTTATCCTCCTCCTCAGCGTCATCGCCACCACCTTCGGTTCTCTTCCATGTATGAATTATTTTCTTTATATCCCCTCCCTTTCTTTTTAATTAAATTCAAATAGTGGTGCTATCAAAATTAATTTATAGTTTTATTTGTAACTCGAAATTTTTTATACTGCTCAAACTTTAATATTAATAGCAACAAAAAAATTCTAAAAAATAGCAATAAAAAAGATGACTGAAAATGATGCATAAATTAGGGCCAAATATGTTTTCGGGCTTCTGCTTTTTTCCATTTTTTTGGAAGTAGTCAATAATGTTTGGTGAATTTTTTCCATGCTTATTGGAATCACTTCTGTTTTTAAGGTGTTGCTTTTAGAAGCAACCTTAAGATATTTTTAAAAACAACATTATATATGATATTTATCTTTTAATATTTATTTTTAAGCACGGTTTTATCAAAAATCTAAACAACTTTTAAAAATAACTTATTATAAGCTCCATCAATACGCTCTTAGTAGATTATAAATTTTTATTGTAGTATATTTAAAGCATTAATTTCTACCAATGATTCAAATTATCATTTATGAGATATAATTTATTTCACTTGCTTATCAATTGTGTTATTTTTATGTACTTTTGTATTTAAAAAATAGTTCCGATTATGTGTTTTGACATCCAATATGAGAAGGAAAATTTTATTATGAAGGCAGATCGCCCAACAAAAAACTTACATCGGACATGGGTTCCTAGGACCCTTTTGTCTCTGAAGTATCTTGTGTTGATGATTTTTCCTTTTCTAATGGCAGTCAACAAGACCAACATCAAAATTGTTTATAATTAAATAGGAGATTTATTTTCATGGGATATGTTAATTATTATATTTAGAATGAATCACAATCTTTTACAGCCATTCACTGAAAAAAAAAATCAATAGCTTAGATTAAGAAGAACAGAAGTAGCGCTCTTTTGACTACCATCCAGTTTATCTTCGTTCTTTCTCTTGGCAGAAAAATATTCAATTAAGATGTTTTTTTCTTTTTTCCCCCTTTATTTTTAAAAGACAGAGAGATGAAGGTCCCAGTTGCAAGAAGCCAAAGGTGGCATGCTGAAGCATGGAGGACACCGTACAAACCTCCGTCGCCAAAACCAAACCAACCAAGACAATTTATTATCGAGCCGCCACCACCTCCAACTTTAATCTCTTAAAATCCATGCCAAGTGCTCGGTTATGTAAATCTGAATTTGATTCTCTTCTATGTCAAATACATTGAACTAATAAATTACACGTATAATTTGTAGTTTAGAACTGTCTATTCTTAGACCATTAAAATTATAAATAAATTTGGAGAGTGATGAAATCTAAAAAACAAAATATATGTGGACTATTAACTTGGTGCATTTTCATTAGCTCAATGTCCTTTTATCTTCCATCATGTATCTATAAATTGTACCATGTATGGAAATGGATTAAGATGAATAAAAATTACAATTTCTCTTCTTCTTTCTCTCTTTTCTCTTGTTTTCATTTCTTTAGTATATTACAATACGTTATCAGCACGAGTGGCTCTAGCCGGTGCGTGATCATCGGTTTGTAGTAATAGATTTTTAGATGTACATCTTCTGCAAGGTAATAATACATACGGTCTTTGTCTATTTACATAGTATCAAGCATTCCGTCGAATGATTATGATTATGTCCAGTATGATATGCAATTCTTTGGTTTATTTTTATGTGAATCATGTGATGATGATATATATATTTGCTGAGTTGTCCTTTTATAAACACACAAACATGCATGTTGGTCTTATTATGAATACAATCTGTTTTCATCTTGTAAAAATAAATAAACAAACATTCACTTTTTGTTTGTTTTTATATATATAGAATCTCCCCCTTCTCGTATTTGTTATATAATATACATGTATATAAACCATTTATTATATGTTGATTTCATGCAGTCTGGTTTAATACAATTTACAAATGCACACCTTCTGTTGATTGATCACTTGTCCTAGCTAATTAGAACAGAGGCATGCACTGTAACTAATGATTTGTGGCTCCTTTATTTATTCGCTTATGTTTGTATGCACACCTTGTATAGTGCGATATTTTATAAATTTGATGGATTGATATATCTTCTAATGATAATTATAGTATTTCTGAACAATGTCTAACATCAACAAAAGGGAATTTGCTGAGCTTGCCATTGATGGCAGCAACTACTTGACTTGGGCCTTGGATGTTAAAATCTACCTGGATTCTTGTGATTTAAGCAGCACTATTGTTCTAGCTTCTTAGAGCACCTATGCCCAGGCAAAGGCATTGATTTTTCTTTGCCATCATCTCAACAAAGACCTGAAAAATGAGTACCTTACTGAAAAAGATCCTGTTGTTCTATGGCAATCCCTGAAGGATCGTTTTGACCAACAGACGGCTATTATGCTCCGCAAGCACAGTATGATTGGTTGAACTTACGATTTTAGGATTTTAAATCCGTGACTGAATACAATTCAACTCTCCACCGTATTGTCTCACAGCTGAAGCTCTGTAAGTAGAACATTACAGAGGTTGAATTGATTGAAAAGACTATCTCTACATTCCATACAAGTAATCTTATACTCCAGCAGCAGTACATGACTAAAAACTATTCAAAACACTCTGAATTGATCTCTACGTTACTAGTTGCAGAGAAACACAACCAACTTCTGATGAGCAACCATAATGCTAGACCAGTTGGTTCGCAAGCTGTGCCTGAAGCACATGCCGCAAATCAGAGTAATACTCATGGGCGTGGACATGGTAGAGGTCGTGGACATGGTCGCGGGTCTTATCGTGGTGGTAGGGGTCGTTGTCGTCGTAATGTTAATGGTCTTCAGGACTGCGGCAAGGGTCAAAACAAGGATAAATCTCCTTCATACAAGCCTAACTCTCATCAACAGGTTACAAATAACAAGCAAGCATGCTATCGGTGTGGATGCAAGGATCACTGGTCTCGCACATGTCGTACATCGAAACATTTGGTTGAGACCTATCAGGGAATGCTGAACGACTCAAAGGGGAAGGCAAAACAAGGTGAGAAACATCATGTCAGTTTGCCTGAAGCAAACATGACCCTGAAAGATGACAATTATGATGATAACCTGTTGAAGATGGGAGATAGCAAACATGACCCTGAAAGATGACAATTATGATGATAACCTGTTGAAGATGGGAGATATGAATCTGGACGATGATGACTGATAACCTGTTGAAGATGGGAGATATGAATCTGGACGATGATGACTTATTGAAGATGGAGCTTGATGATCTTGGTGACCATGAGTGATCATGTTATTTATCACTATCTATGCATGTTTTATTAGTTTATTTCGTTTTTTCAGACTTGTTCTAGTTGCTTTTGTTAAGATAATTTAGAATTGTTCTAGACTTACTTTGCATGTTTTTGTAAGACAATTTCAAGTTCGTATAGGTTTGTTTAAATGATTATTTCTTTACCTTATTTTTGTTATGCTTATATGAATATTTTATTTTTTAAATAGCACGACAACTCTCGCATACAACCCATGGAGAAGGAGACTATCTTGTGCTTGGTAGATAGTGCTACCACACATACTATCCTGAAAGATGGAAATTTTTTTTAAACTTTGACTGAAAAACAAGGAAGTGTAACCACCATTGCTAACGACAATGTATTGATAGTAGGCTCCGACAGAGCTTCACTAATACTTCTTATGGGTATGGAATTAATTATTAATGATGCATTATTATATTCAGAATCCAAACGTACCTGTTTTCGGCAAAAGTTGCTCTCGCTGTGGAATTCATTATATCTTCAGTCGATTACAATAAATTCAAAAGTGTTTTCGGCAAAAGTTGCTCTCGCTGTGGAATTCATTATATCTTCAGTCGATTACAATAAATTCAAAAGAAATAGCCTTTTTATAAGACTTCTTCGATTACAATAAATTCAAAAGAAATAGCCTTTTTATAAGACTTCTTTTACACAACAAAATAAAAATTACAACTTTTGAGAAACAAACGCAGGATCGTTGTTTGGATCGCTGCTTCTGTGCGATCTTTGCCTGTGCCGGGAGCGCTTTGGTTCGTGGACCACCAAATCACAGATTCGGATTGAATCGTGAGGGGTTTAATGATTCTTCTTTCGTTTATCGAAGTGAGAATTTGAAACGAGATCTTATGAATCGTGAGGGGTTTAATGATTCTTCTTTCGTTTATCGAAGTGAGAATTTGAAACGAGATCTTATCAAAGTAAGATAGTCGTTCTTCTTGAGATCAAACGAGATCTTATCAAAGTAAGATAGTCGTTCTTCTTGAGATCAAGTCAAAGCTCGAATCTCAAGGGATTACCAGAAGCTCAAGAACTCTACTCTCTCTCTGCTCTGGATTGCTCTAACCAGTGCTCTCTGATCAGCCCCCTCAAAAATCGACTTCAGGGGGGTATTTATATCCCCTAGGACAAACTGTACTTCCGAGACAGTGTTTGCTGTCTCGACGGCCGAGACAGCAAAGACTGTCTCGGGTTCCGAGATAGTAAAGACTGTCTCGGCCCGCGAGATAGTAAACACTGTCTCGAAAACAATAACTGTCTGGTAGTTTTCTTGTAACTGCCTTTTCACGTTTTACAACTCCGTTATTTTGGCAGTTATCAACGTGATTCTCACCCATGATGTTTTCCATGTCCTTGGCAGTTAATGGACACGTGTCGGCGGTTACAAAACAGTTTTTGATCTTTTGAAGGCTGTCTCGTGGGCGAGACAATAAATACTGTCTCGCGTGCGAGACAGAAAACACTGTCTCGCATGGAGAGACAGTAAAGGCTGTCTCGCTGGCGAGACAGCAAAGGCTGTCTAGTCTATCTCGCGTGCGAGACAGTAAAGGCTGTCTCGCATGCGAGACAGTCTATACTTGTGTTCTTTTGATTTTTTGGATGATTTCCTCTTGAGTTGTATTTGGATATCTTTTCAGCATTTTTTAACGCCTACAGATACCCCCTCCAAAGTATTCCAGACTCATTCTTTTATAGAAGAGTCTGGGATACTTTAGATAAGATAGATTTTACTTACGATCTCTTTAATACTTGGTTGAGTAGATCGTGTAGAAGAATCCATAAAATGGTTTTGTCTCTTAATCTCTTCATCCTTTAGCCTATTCAGTTATAAGGACCGTGAAGTTTTGATACTAGTTAAAATAATTTTCTAGTATTTTTTAATATTTAATTATGATTTTTAAAAGAGTATTTGTATTTTTCTTAATTTCCTATAATTTTCTACTTTTAATATTTAATTATGATTTTTAAAAGAGTATTTGTATTTTTCTTAATTTCCTATAATTTTCTACGATTTAAAAACCAAAATTATATTTATTTAAATAATTTTTATATTTATAAATTTATTTTGTGCAGTAAAAATTCCTAGAATTAATTTGTTGAGTTATCGATACTATTATGTAATATTTTAAATAATATATTGTATTATTAATATTATTACAAATTATTTTATATAATACATGGTATTATTAATTACGTGTTTTTGGTATAATTTATTATTTTATTTCTACTGTTACATATTTTCTGTCGTATTAGTATAACTAGTACGTTTTACTGTGTACGTAATTGTCCCATAATTATTTGGTTTTAAATTTAAGTAAAAATATTTTTATTATTAATTATTCTTGTTTAATTATATAATATGGGTATATTTTGACTATTTCGTATTAACCGTTGTATTAGTACAATATGTACGTTTTTATTTGTAGATAATTATCCCGTATTTATTTTGATTTTTAAATATCATTAGTTATTTCTTTTAATTAATTTTGTTTTAACTTATTTAACCCTAAACCCTAATTATATATATATATACACCTATATATACCTCTCTCTCTCTCATCCTCTTCTCCTCGTCTCATCTCCCAGGATCTCTCTCTCTCTCCTCTCCTGATTCACGGAGAAAACCCCGCCGCCCACTGTTACATCTTCCTCCTCCACCTCTTCTCTCTTCTCCTTGCTCTCTCTTCGAACCCCAAACACCAACGTCGACGACCACCTCCTCTGGCAGCCCGTGACGCCACCCCCCCACCTGCACCCGCCTCCTCTCCTCTCAGACACGGCGAACCCACCGCGAACTCTCCTCATGCCGCCACCAGCCGCACCCCATCAACCCCGACCAGTAGCACCGCTCCAACCAAGGGCCTCTGTCCTGACAGAGTATTCCACACCCAGGCGCAACCACCATCCTCTAACCACCTCCAATCCGAATCCAGATCCGACTCCTCCGCCTCCCTGTAGCCCGAACCCAGCGTTGCTCCCCCTCATCCCCCCGTCGCCAATGGCAGCCTTCCGCCTGAGCCACGTTGACGGCCGCCTGCCGACTCCCAGCCCTACTCCAGATCCGCCTTGATCCCCAGCCATGGCCGCCACCAGATCCCGCTGCCTGAACACCACAATCAGCCTCGTCGCCGAGCTCGTCGCTGCCCGACGCTGACCGAGTTCGTCGCCGCGCTCTTCCACGTCAGATCTGATCTTGCACGTCGACGTCGACACGTTCGACAAATTCACTGAGGCAAGATCCCGATCCTTGTTTAGTTTTGTTCCAATTTTTTATATTCGTCGTAGATTATTTATGTGCAAGATCCCGCTCTCCTGTTTCGTAGTTTAATTATTTATATTTTTTATGAATTATTTGCATAGTTTAATTGTGACGTATTTATCTGCGTGGGATTGCTTACTGAAGAATATTAATTATATCATGGTAATATGATAAATGACATTTTCAGAATACTTATAAGGAATTAAAAGAATTTAGTTTGGCAAAAGAACCATTTTTTAGATAATTATTATAATTTAAAAGAATTTATTTTGGAAAATGAATTAGTTTAGATTAATTATTAAGCGAAATAATTTAAATGAATTAATTTAGAAAAAGATTATTTTCTGAATTATGTAGATGTTGTTTATGATTTATATTTCTTATTTTGATTATCTAAAATGTTACGATATTATTACACATGATTAGTTACATTGATTGATTGCTCCATGTTGTGATTGAGAATCATTAGGAGTTTATGACTATAGTGACCTGTATGACACAGTTAGGATCTAGAATCCGGTGTGTAGTTGACCTAGAATTACGAGAATTGGGATGAGAAGTCTTGGTCTATGTGAGCGGTTGGGATTGTTGGTGTATATTCCGGGCTCGCGCTGGTGAAGTTTGTGTAGTCACCGGGGTAGGTTCGAGGAGTTGTGATATGTGATTGTTGGTGTATATTCCAGGCTCGCGCTGGTGAAGTTTGTGTAGTCACCGGGGTGGGTCCGAGGAGATGTGATATGTGATTGTTGATGTATATTCCAGGCTCGCGCCGGTGAAGTTTGTGTAGTCACCGGGGTGGGTCTGATGAGTTAAGATGTTTATGCATTCCGGGCTCGCGCCGGTGAAGTTTGTGTAGTCACCGGGGTGGGTCTGGGGAGTTGGGATATTTGTGATTTGCGACTAGTCAGTTACCTGAGGATATGAGCGTTGGCTATATGTGAGAGGTAGACCAGTGACCTGTATAGGATGGCTAGTTGTGTTCTTTCCATACATAGATCGAGATTAATATTTAGTTATCTACAATTTGACGTACACCTGTTTTCTCTGGTGTACGTCAGACTTAGAGGAAGAACAGGTTCAGCTGGGAAATCATCAGGAGCCAAAGGATTCTCAGCAGGAGTGCCTAGCGGATGGAGCAGAAGAAGAAACCAAAGTTTAGTTATTGGTCCTCAGTTTTCTTTTGTACTACATTCCATTCTATTTGATCAGTGTATTTTGTATCTCTTTAGTATTCATTTGTTCAGATTTGTATCAGGGCATGTTGACCCAATTATTATGTCTCGGATGTTATCCCATTTGTGATATGTATTTTTATTCTGAGTTTGTCTATTATATTCTTGCTATGTGTGATCGGGGACCTGTGACTTCACGTTGTATTTATTTCTAGACGCTTAGCGTATTGGATTGAGAAGAAAAGAAAAGAAAAGAAAAAAAAGAGTAGTGTATATTTCTTCTCAATCTAATACGTCGCGGGCTTGTTCACGTTCTGGTTCCCGTGTATTTTGGGAAGCGGGGCGTGACATCAGTTCTTTGTAGAATAGCTATTACTCTTCCGGTACTACGACCGTTATCGA